TTTTTGTTGCCCATTTTTGTTTTTCTGTGAGCTGAGTAAGTTCACTCCCATTTTACAGAAAAGGTACAGAGCGATTGCCAGAGCTCAGAGAAAATCTCGTCTGTGTGTCTCCCGTTCCCTTTGGTTTTGGTTTCCTTTGCTTTTTAACGGGCCATTTTGAACACAGATCCATTTTTGGAAGTGCTATACAAAATGACTGACCCAGCAGGGAGTGTTTTGTTGTATGAACTGAATGGGTAGTGTGGTTTGGTTTGGGAGTTTTTCAGTTGGTTTTCTTTTTTCTTTCATAAAGTAGGTGTTGGAATGCTAAAAATATGGTGGGTTTTGAAACCTGTTTTGCATATGGGATATATTCCCACTTTCAGAAATCCAAGTACATTGTAATGGCTTACTGGTAGCTGAAAGCATAATCTCTTCTCTCTTCACTCCCAAGGTGCCAATAATTTGAATTGCAATAATCAAAAAGAAAATTAAAACCACCATTTTATATGCAAAGGAATAGGGTACTTGAGTCGATGCTAAAACACTCCCCTTTCCTCCATCACTTTTATTAAATACATAAATTGGATGTTCATGCTCTGAATTAGAAATAGATGCATGTAATGAAGTAATAACTTCCACTGAATTGATTGCTATACAGTTTCAATGCAAGATGCATTGCCAAACTGCAGTCAGTATTATTGTGTCTGTATGTTCCAGAAAAACTAGCATTATACTCCTGATAAGTAAACTTGAAGGATAGATTGTCAGGAGGTAAATAACTTTCTAATAGGGTAGTAGTTTCAAATTTACATGATTTTTCCAAGAGAAATACAATTTCTAAAAAAAAAAAACAGTAGTTATTCTGAAAAAGTGCATAGATTCCTTTTTTTTTTGTTATTTTGCCTTGCAAATGCTGTACTTTAGAAGAATTTTCTTGTAATGACTTTATTTTTTCATTTATGCACCAACTATTTGGATGGTACTTCATAACTAAATTGTAGTTGCTCAGAACCATTTTAACATGGCTTGATTAGTTTTTATGTTCCTCTTAAAATTCAGAATTGTCTCAATTTGCACAGCTCTGTCTTCTATTCTGGTAGAAATTTTGGGAGCAAACAATTTCAGGCAGGATTTGAAATGGACTGGAACAGACTGCTGAATGAATGCAGTACTGTTTAATGTATGGAAATCACTTTAAAACAGCTGACTTGTTTGGTTATTTAGGTGGAAATAAATGGTTACCAAGTTCTTAGAACTGTCTGGAATCTTAAATACTTAATCATGTTATGACTGTTATTAAACAGTTGAATTGGACCTTTATTTTTTAGCTGTAGGACTTAATAGGTTTCTTTTAGCCTCTGCTGTCTTTGAAGGAACTAAGAGTAAGCTGAATTTTTTACTGTCTTCCATTATCTTGATTTTCAGGTTGAAATCAGTCAGCTGTTTAGTAAACAACAGAATTCTTCATGTAAATTTATGTGAGCAAAATGTGCGAGTTTTGAAGTTGATGAGAATATTCATACTGAGGATTTTGCATTTCTAGAAGAAAGGAAGTGCAACATACTAGACTGTTGCAGCCTGGAACTTAACCCGGTTTATACAATTTCTCACCACTTTTCTACAATAGAAAAGTGGGTAGAAGTATTTTCAGTCTTCCCTCCCCCCTTTCCTGCCCTTCCTGTTCTTTTTACTGATACAGACTTCTGCTGTAAAATACCTTCAAATAAACCACAGCAGCTAAGATAATGAATTGATAGACAGTTTACTGCTTCAGAAATGTACATTATTTTCTGTGTCTTTCAGACAATAATGTGAGAAAAATTTGGGAACTACTAAAATTTTAGTTGACTCTTAAGTGAATAGCAATATGATCTGTTATGTTTTGGAGAAGAAAAGTAGGGGAGAGGGTTATTTTGGAGTTGTGTCAGAAGGCTCAGGGCCTTTCATTTTCATTTGCCCTGTGGAGGGTGTTTCTTGTTTAAGGTTTGCTGTTTTGGTTTGGGTTTTTTAGGTCAAGGTTACTAGCGACAGATTTCGTCATGGTTAGATTATGGGGGTTTTTCCCTTTTATTTTAGACAAATTTTTGACAATTAAATGCTTTAAAGTTGTCTGGATTTGGTAAATAATTTTGCGTGAGTTTTCTTCTCTACCTATTTTGAGAGAACGGAACCAGTATTTTAACATGTCTTTGATTAGTACGTGTTGAACCCATACAGTTAATTGTTGTTATTTTGAACAGCTAGTCTTACTACTTCTGACTGCAACATTTGCTCTTTAAAGTCACTTCTTATGGGGGAGGAGAAAGTCGTTCGCATGTTGGAGGAAGAGAACTAGCTCTGAGAATAATACAATAGCTTTTAGGTGTTTCCACCGACACGGGCAAAACATGGAAAAGGCAGGCAGACATTTTGTCTTTTTCTGTAGCAGCAGTCACCGGAGAATTATGATTGAGTACATTATGGTTTGTTGTCTCAGACTCTCCTATTAAAAACATACTAAACAAACTACAAAACAAACCATGTTCCCCTCCCTCCCCCCCCTCCGCTCATGAAAAAAAAAAAAAAAAAAAAAAGCCCAAAATGTAACCAGAAAAAAATCCCACCCAAATCCCGTACTTCGGAGGCTGCTGAAGGGTCCCTCTACTTTATTTGGGGTCAGTTGCCAGCCCTGTACGTGGCAGGCAGAGGCTGCCGCCTCTCAGGGGTTCAGCCCTAAACAAGGCAGCCCCGCTGCCCTATGTAACCGAGTTGGTGCGTTTCTAACTCCTAAACCAATGGCTCCTCCTCTCTGTGAAAACGTTTTGTGTTTTAAACTGTGCTTTGTCATAGGCAGTGGTGTGAGAGGGAGGAAGGCGCGGGGAGGAAAACACAGCCAGGGGCTGCGGGTGGCTCTGCCGGAACGTTCTGGAAGCGGGGTGGTGCTTCCCGCAGACTGCAGATGCAGAGCTCGCCCGCAGGGGCTGCCGGCAAGTTCTGGCATGGACTTCCCGTAGCGGACTGGAGCTTGGAACGTAAAATGCTCCAAGGCTTTTATTTTTGCAGTCTGTGTTTTACTGTGTCAAGAAGCATAGTGTTATTCAGGTATTAGTGCATAACGCTATAGAGCTGGGGGAGGGTAGGGACGTGGCTATATTTGGGAAATTTAAAGGGTTTTTATTTTTTTTTAAAGCAGCACTGCTGCCTTTTCTTTTTAAGCTCAGAAGCTGTTAATCCGATGATTCATTCTGCAAATGACAACAGAATCACTGAAAAATACATTCTGCGTGCACTTAGATGTCCTAGCAGACATAAGTCAGTCTGAAAGCAAGGCAAGTCAAAAGATATAGGTAACACAAAAGGGATGTTAGTGATTGTCGCTTTAATGTGACAGGCATTCTGGAAAAATAATTAGCTTTCCCTTACAAATCACTCTAGGGTTTTGTATGCAAGAAAAGGTGAGGATAAACTGTAACAACAAATGAGTAATTTGCATTGCTAAATATTTTCAGACAAAAAATATCTTTGACATTACAGATGAGCATATTGTGTTATGCTCAAATAACCTAGAACCAGCCGTACATGAGCAAATTATGCTTGCAGCAGAAAATGGGACATATAATTCAAGTGTATAGCCTTGACACTGTTGGCATTGTAAAGAAGAACAACTCAATGCCATTTCTCCTCTACCATTCTCCAGGGAACTGGAACAGGCCAGGGTGTAAAGCAGGCTCTTCTGGTGCTGAGATGCTCTGCCATGTTCAAATCAATAAGCATCCCTGTCTCCATTACTTTGCTTTTTTACTAAATGGTGCCAGGCTGCAACTATGGCTGCCTATTCCTAAACATGTAGCCAGCCAAACTTGATTTTAAGGTTTCACGAATTTGTGTTTATAGCTGTTTGCGTTGGTTCTTTCATGCCCTGAGAGTTCTTGCGAAGCAGCAGGTGAAGGGGGAAGAGTTATTGGCAAATGAGTCATCCTTTGCACACGCGCGCACACACACACGCACACTCTCTCTTAAAGCCTGGCTTCTTTTTATTTTCTCCCAAAAAAGTACAGTGACTTTCAGAATAAACGTATTTCAAATGTAACTTACTCATTTATTTAACTGGTCTTTGACTGGAAGGAAAAAGATCAGAATTTTAAAATTAGGTATTAAAAGTCAAAAATCCAAGCTTCTGCCACTACCTGTCACTGTACCTTAGAGGTACTTGAAAAGGTAGTTCTGGTTGAGAGGTTTTCTTTTCTTCCCCCCTCCTACACTTCCATAATTAAGAAAAGTTAAATGTGAAATAGGCACAACAAATTAAATGGTCAGACATGTTACTTGTCAGTATTAGGTTAAAAGTGAATTTGTCTTACTTGGAACTAATATTTATTTCTTGTTGGAAATATGCAAAATACTGGCAATACTAGGTTAAGAATATCTGGTTGCTGAGCATAGTGCAGTTTTTCTGGTGTTATTACTTTTACTAGACGATGACTATGAACAGTGTGTATAGCATCCTACTTGAAACAGGCTGCAAGGTGAACTTTATTTTGCAGACACTATTGTCAATTTTCGTTTCTCTGACCAATGAGAGCAGCATTTGACTTTTGACACGGATCTGGATTATTAGTAAGCAAAGATCTAGAAAGGTATATTCTAGAACCCATGGGGAGGGGCAAGGCTTTGCTCAGCAATTTCCTGCTGCAATTTAGCCTTATCAGGCCCCTTTATGTAAATTTTTACTGGCGCCAGCTAGCTGTAACTGCAGTCTGGCTCTGCATCGGCAGCAGCTAACATGTGTCATGGACTTCTCCTTCACACGGGCTGCAGGAGCACTCTGGATTCTGGACAGAAAAAGCAGCAGTGATGAAAGTGAAAAGATGTACAAAGGAATCTAGGTATAACTAGATTGCTAGTAAGTGAAAATACTGAAATTTCAGCTTTCTTGGGGTTTTTTTCCAGTGTGTTGTGCTGTAATAAATCTATGCTTGTTGGTACTACTGTGTGGTATGTGGGAGGTACTTCACTGCACATAGTTGCTGCAGCACTGATAGTTGGCAGCACGGAAGGCAGTACGAAGAGTACAAGTGGAGGCAGTTGCAACAGTTTCCTTAGAGGCATGCTCAGTGAGTTGCAGGGGCACTCAGACACATTCAGTTAGTATGTGGAAATGTAGGAATTCCAGCAGTCTTTAAGGAACAGATGTAGGCTACTAGCTGAGAGGTATAACAGCATAGATGAGGCTGGCTAAATACCAGTACTCATGCTGCTATGTAAACAAAACAAGATCTTAGTATCAAGATGGCCGACCTGGAAGTCTACTTGTAGCTCATAATACTTATGCAAATGAGCTGCACATCAGTGGCTTACTCAGAGGAGGAAGCTCATTTTGCACGTGCCATCTTCTCACCAGGTAAGAGAATCAACTCATTTTCTGCATTCTTGTTCTACAGGACTTTGAAGTTAATTTTTCATTTAGGTCCCCACCTCCCCACCCA